AAATGTTCCTGCTCTAGCACGGACAAGCATTGGCCAAAAACGATACCTCGTGAAGAGAGCTTTTAATGTCTCAGTCAAAGGCTGAGCGGATGTTAACATGGGCCCACACATTTGGCGGGTAAAAGAAATCTCACTCTCAAAGGTGAATGGACCAATAGGAAGACGGCGGGGATTATGAATCAAACCCTTTGTGTGCATTAAACGTGGTTGATAACGAAAGCATAAAATTGTCGAATGTAGTCTTGTGGATGCCGAATCACTGGCACGTCTCGTGCATGTTTTGTGGCCTTTCTTAAACTCCGCATTCATTGGCGCGTCACGTGTGCCTCAACCCGTTCTGCGTGGGAAAATTTTGTGTGCTTTTACTCATGAATGGCTCAAAATTCAAAGAAAACATGCATGTTAGGACCCTCAAAATGCAAAACGTGTCTACTAGGCACAATGACAACGGAATTTCGCCCCATATAAAGAATGCTGGCGGTGCTGCGTCCGCTCTTTCCGTCTCATTAGCTATGCACAAGCGTCTGATGCCCACCCCGTACGTCTGCGTACTTATGTTTGTCCGAAGGTAAGACCACAACACGCAACTTCGTTGAGACGACTCGGGTTCTAAAAAAATCTGTCAGAAATTGAAATTTGTCTTTAGGAATTAGATCAATGCGTCAACAGCATGAAATCTAGATACAAACTTCCAAATGAGAAAAAAATTGGAAGGCAGCTGGCGTGGTTCTCGTAGATATCAAGACAAGCGATGATTCAGATAGGTCCTAAGTTTTCGAAGACGACGTAACTGTATTATTTAATAATCTAAAATTTTAAACATTAATTTAGATGGCTAGATTATGTCTGGATTGCAAATTTGGTTACACTTTACAAGTTGCACACTTTTACGCAACCACTAGAAGAAGAGATTTCCAGACTTTTAAACCTTTCAACCTTGAACAGCTATAAATTCAACTCAAAAAGTAATAAACGGTGTTTTAGTTTAATTTCCTGCTTAACGAGCCAGTATGCAGTCAAAAATGCACTCTCTGCCCATCAGTTAGTGGCTTCTACAGTAGTGCTGCTCCAACAAATACACTGAATTGATTATTCAAATAAAAACGGTAGTCTGCATTTTTTATTTGTCTGGCGGCAGCCCCAGACGTGTTCCATACTGCCCAAATTTGCAAAATAGGTGATAAAAATTAGTTATTAGTTTGTCTAGACAATTAGAATCCTTCTGATCACCAGCATTCATGCGCTTTTACTGCATTTCTGTGCCCAATTCATAGATTTAATGCTAAAGAAGACCCATCAAGTCAGTAGTTGAGCGGGGGAGCTTAAAGAACTAAGGATTAAGACAAGGAAAAATATGACAGATTTTGGCAGTGTTATAGAAACTACTCATTTCAAAGATCAATTTAGCCGCTTAAAATAAAAGCAGTTTGCCAGACTTATAGCTACTAATTTCAGATGACAAGGCGGAGTGGCATGCCTCCATCATCAGTAATCCGACCTCTAAGAGGGGTGGGAGTTATCGCTACCGTATCAAGCAAAGAAAGGGATTGATACATTTCTAAATCAGAAATTATGCTGCTACTTCCTTTCTCATAAGAGTTGACGTGGATGGCAGTGGTATGCAAAACTCAAACGACGGACTGCTTAGTCAGATGCAGAAACGTCTGCCCACTTAAGTCATGCAAACATCGCTGTGACCCTGTCAAGACGGCAAATTAGGAATTTTTGTGTGTTTTTAAAACAGACTGACAGGGCTGCGGAGAGTTTGGTGAAACGTTCTGGTAATTATTGCGATTTTGTAAATATCCATTCAACTTTAACTTGATTAACCAAGGACTTGATGGGGATTAAGACCAAACGGGGAGATTGTTCAAAAGGGCTGCTGAGCAATCCGCCGCTGCTAGTAAGGCAGTGCAAACAAAATTGATTGTGTAGCCTTTCAAAAAAATCAAATCCTTAACAGCGTTTTGATATTATCCATTGGTATTGCAGGACATTCACGATGTTTTGGCTGTGATATTACAATGTGAAGGAATCAAAATTAGAAACAAAACATAAAATAATGAAATTGACCTATTAGATAAAATTACAAAGTGCTGTGAAAGATAATTAAATGAAACTGATTTATTAAACGTCTTCCTGACAAATGGAATGTATGTGGTCCTTGCTATTTTTATATCTTAAGTTAAATCAAAAGAATAAAAAAAGAGCAGTCGGAATATAATCTTCTTGCTACCCTGTGCATGGCATTTTTGCTGCATTTTTACGGAGCTGGAAGTCTTGGGTCAGAAAAATAATCATAACATGTGTACTTTGCTGCATAAGAAAATATAAAACTTTAAAGCAGTAACTTTCTCTAAAATCAAATCTAATCATAGAATCAATTGAGAGCATTGCATATTAGAAGAGTTAAAGGGAACTTTCAAAAATGCTAAGGTGAAAATGACAAACAATGCACTAATTTTGCCCAAACGTAGAAGTCTTATTAACCAGTGTCTTTCAAGGATTAAGTGTAGAAATATATATCGCATACACCTCTTTTTATGCTTGATTCATTAAAAGGAAGTCATGGTTAATTTAATTAAAGCCCAAACAATTTTCGAGAGCGAATACAAGCTTTAGGCCTAATATTTTTTTGAGCAATTGTGGGTCTAAGAAAAAAATGCATTCATTCATAACTCCAAATTGCTTAGGAAGTAACCTTAATAATTTAGATTTAAGGTTAAAGTTCTTAGGTGGTGCTCAGAAAACTAATTCTGTAGATGCAAAACAAACTTCGCTAATTTAGTCCAAAAAAAGAATATTTTCAATTTCAAACCTATAAATAAATCCCCGCATGTTGAACTATTATTAGCAACATAATGTTCAGCTACATCTTAGAAAAAAATCAGTAGAAAACTTTTACTTAGGACTAATTTTAATAAATTTGGGGAGCGAAGTAACAAAAGTAAATGTGCTCAAAGATTTGCTTGCAAAATAAAATTCGTTCTGAAGACATTAACCTGCCTAAAAAAGAAATGGCAACTATATATTTATTGTGATGTATTTGTAATACCGATAGTTACTGATGTAGAAGGACAAATTTACGGTTCCTTTCCAAAAGTGCATGCACTTAGAGACTCTGTCAGAATATATTTTATTTTATTAAAATGAACTTAACCAAAAGCCTAAAAAACAGCTATATTAAGAATAAAATATAAATAGCAACCTTTTTACTTTATCAAAGGGTAGAATAAATATTTAAATCATTACAAATTGCACAGTTTGACCTTTTTGTTTGTACAAATTCGCTATCATTCACGACTTTTAAAATTGACAGGTGATTTGGGACTGTATTTTGATTGAATTACTTTTGGACTAATTTTATAAATGCTTCTTTGTATTACTAATTAGGTTTGTTTGTTTGAAATCAGGTACTTAATGTGCTACTTTTCCCCTCTTTTTCTATTTCCCTAAGCACTATTGCTACCGCTTCTACATTAATTCACCCTTGATTTGAGCAGAACTTGGAGTATATTTAGGGTGTCATCAAAGAGATTTTATATTGCTTTTGCAGCATCTGCTCGATTCAAGGTATAAAGAATGGAATCGTAACGGTGCGTTCCACAAAACTGGGTGCAAACACCCTCGACGGCACCATTGGCTGTCGTCGAATAGTCTGACACTAGTAATTGTGAAGCATTTTCACCTACCCTTTCAGTAGGAGGTTCTTCGATTGAAAAGTGTCTTCTTTGCCTAGATCACGTGACTGGAAATTTGTTCGGCAATTTCACCGGCAACAGGCCCCAAGATCTCATTAACCCAAATGTCACGAAGTTGCTTAAGCTATTTGACACCTTCATCATGACTGCTTTTATCGACGGCATTCAGTAAGGCAAAATTACATGTGACTGTCCTCGGCATATTTTTTGGGGGCACTACATTCGATCACGTTTTCATCGCAAACCCACTTAACAATTCAGTAAGCTAAACTCATTTGGTTTTTCGAAGTAATTCACCTCTGCGATATCGTGAGCCCAACTCCGCCGTCAGGCCATTGTTCCGGTTGATCTTTATTACAATGAACTCTCAATTTCGTATTAACTATCCATGTCACAGAAACTTAAGTTAGCACATTTATTCCGTCAGATGGTGTAACCGGCCAGATATGCTAAAATTACATTGTAGAACGCCATTCGTTTACTTCTTTTTGGGCAAGCGCTCTATACAGTAGAACGAAGTTTGAAACGATGGTTTGAAAAATTTGCACAAATTAGAGTGTGTTTACCCACAACTTCGTCCGTACACGTAACTTGCTCGCAGCTACGTTCTTTTTGTGCGCTTTCTTAATTCACCCTTTTCCCTTCTCGCAAATGTATGTCGTCCACCCATGGGGTAGCTGTGTGACACTTTTCTATCACTAACTTCGAACATGACGATTATTCGCATCAGTTTTAGACTTACGTGGTATTCGAGGAAGTTTTTTTGTCATTCCGCAGTGTTTAAAATGATAACTGCCAGTGATTTATCAAAGCATCACCCTCATTAGCAATAGAAGGCAGTTTTTTGCAGTCTTAAAGCTGTGTCTCCAACTGCACATGTTTAGTTTTATCTAGACAGTTTAGCAGTGCATCCTGGATCAATGCGTGCTTCATTCCGTAATTTTTTTAATTTCTCTCTCGATGTTCTTTTAGTCTGAATGAAGTTCGTCCTCAACCCGGTTCACCTTTTGCGATGGCTTGCCACGAGTCCACCACCGAGGTGCTGCCTCCACACCAGCGCGGCTCTCTTGAAAGGCAACACCCGGAGGTTGCAGGTGCGTTCTGGCGCCGCCAGCGGCGGTGCGTCGTCGAAGGTCACGTCGCGTCGGGAGATGGTCGCCCAGATGAAAGCGGATGCCTCTCGTGCTAGGTGGGAGTCTGAGCAGGCAGCGGCCGCGCGACTTCAAGGTGTCCGGCCCCCCTCGAACCTCAATGTGTACTTTGCTTCCAGTTTTGAGCCCAAAAGATGGCCATTGGCTGAAGCCGTCGCCTCCTTACGTGAAGCCGCCGCACCTGAAATGTTCAACTGCCTTGAAAATCCTCTGTACGCGAAGGTAATTCGGTCGCCCTACGTATCTGTGGTCACTTGGTCTAAGCACCACATCGTTTTGAGGTGAAAAGCCCATCTGCCCCTTTTTAGGTCATTTTGAATTGTCGCACAAAAAAGGCGACTAAATTCATCTCGAAATTGGAAACTTCTACCACTCTTCCGCATCAGCTGGACTTCCTGCCGAAGCGACGCATTATCGTGCTTACAAACGTAAGTCCGGTCTCTACTTTGAGCGTCACCCCATGCCCCTTCGTTTGGACGTCTCTGTCACCGCACACTATTTGGTATAAATTGTCCAAACCATCGTTCCTCCTTGTCCAGTCTTTCCGGGTCATTTCGCCGGTTAGAACAAGAATTTAGTCGGTCTCGCTTCTGTTAAGGACACAGCCACAGCCGAGCAATGTGTCTCGGAGTTGGGTGCCGCCGCTGCCGGAGGCTTGGATATAATCGATCGTTTGGCGACTGGTGGATTCCACTGGGACGAGTACGACGATGTGGTTGCGCATCCCGACTTCTCGGAGTCCGTGCTACGAGTCCGCAAGATTCTCCAAAACCGTCTCCCTACTGCGAAAAATGGTGAGCAAGGCGGACACATTCCTCTCTGTACTGAGGGTCAATAGAATTTGACGTTAAATATGCATGTGGTTGCATGCACGGATTAACGCTTAAGTTGTAGTCACGTAAACATTCAGTGTGGTTCTTGTGGATTCATTAAAGAAAATGCTGCGCTTGATGTGAAAACGGTATCGAAATTTTGATCCAAGCCTCTTGGGGCAACAACAGAACAGTGGGAAGTTGTGAGTTGGGATGAATGCTGTCATTTGAAGATAAGATCAGTATCCACGGGTATTAATCCTACTACCTGTGGTCGTACAACGCGTGCTATTAAACTGCTGGTGCAAGTGGGACAATGCCGTATCGCCATCCGAGTCTATGCACGCCTGTTTCATGGTGGAGCGTTCTCTGTCGAGAGTTGTGTCGAAAGTTGGAAGAGCTCAGGTCCTTCGAATGTAGGAACCAGTGCTAAGGCGAATCTTGGTCCTAGGGTTGTGAAGTGGATGATCAACAAGTTGCGAATTCTACTTTTTTTATCTTGTTACCAGGACGAGTCGGTGAAGATCTTGTTGCGATGCTAAAAGCTCAGCAGATTTGCGTCCTGCTGAATTCAACCCCTGTGGATGGCGTCCCAGAAATCAACGAGCTACGATTGGTCCTTGGTCAGGTGAGGAACCGGAAAGCGCCTTTCACACAGTTGGTTCTGTCCAATACAGGATCGAAACTTGAGAATCAGTCAGTGTTGCTGACACGCCGTTTTGTTGGGCTGCCCAACTGACAGTTTTGTTGTGGTTTTAGCTGTCCTGGGAGGATGGGCGACTGCAGGACAATCTCTGTTGCTACTTGGAGGCGGTGGAGAAAGCCAAGTCTAACCGTGTCCATGGTAATTGACGTTAATAGCTTAGATCCGCGTGCTGGGTGTCGTTATCGTCCATTGTTTCCTTGTAGGCAATGCCATCGACCGCATCGACCTGATCTGCCCGCCAATCGACGAAGTCTTTCTCCTCGATGCGACTTTACTGGGGCTTGAAAACGCGAAGGAGGCGAAGGGAGACAAGGTGGAGGAGGGGGCGGAAGAAGAGGAGGAGGAGGGGGAGGAAAATTACGCCTCCTCATAGAGACACTTCCTTTTATACCTTGTACAGATACACGTGATCATCGAGGGGGTCTTTTTCCTCCGGTCTCTTGGTTTATTGGGCTTGGAAATCAAGACTTCTTTTAGTTATGAGTTCTCTAGTCAATGCTTGCAGCTTCCTCTCACGTTGTCCGTCGTGGTAGATAAGGCTAGTTTGGGCTGCCATCTTCACTCATGATCGAGACATAGGGGTCAACATCGCAGTCTTAAATTTGGCGCAGCACGGCTGCGTCAACCCCGCGGTAGCCTGTCGCGCAATTTTGCCAATTTGAGACTAAGAATAAAGTACAATTAAACTGCATAGAACATCCATAACAAGACCCCAATGGGATGCAGGACCTGCTCTTCGATCGCATGCGGCACTCTTAAAAAGGGGGGCAGGAATACGATTGGACAAAACCTGGGAACGGACTTGTCCCTCGGACTGAATATTTGCCCTGTAGAAAGGTCGGTAATTTTACGGGTGGCGGAGTGATCGCTTATTGGTCGGTTCTCTAAAGAGCTGATTAGATTATTTCACAAATTGTTCGGAAGGTGTAGCAAACCAGTCACACTGTATCTTAAATAAGAGCTACTTACAACATCTAAGTAGCATTTTTATGCTCTTTTCCTTGCATCCTTCAATGGCTTTCTATATCCCGGCGAATGGTTTTATTCGTGGCTCAAATCCTAGGGCACGAAAGTGTTATTTTGAACCCATTAATTCGCTCTTCATTTGCAAAATTTAAAAGGTAGATAAATGTGATACCTGGCACAGATTTGCGAAATGTTCTTCCTTGAAAGTCATTGGTAGGTTGTGTACGCGACCTTAAAGATTACATGACATGACAACCAGACAGGCTTGACAACGCATAAGAAATATCCCTCACACAGCTCTATGTTGCAAATAAAGTCAAGGAATAAATTTGTTGTCAAAAGTTTACCCAAGCAACCTAAAATTGAGGCTTTGTAGGAAACTGTGTCGATCGATATTTTACCAATCGGCTCGCTTACGTGAGCTCAAATCACAATTGCTCGCAAATGTCTTCACGAGGCATGAAAGACGGGTGAAGTCAATCGATAATTGCGATCGATTATTTTGTTGCTTTACATGCCTCACGTAGTGACTTGAATGCCAGTCTTGACAGCTTACACTGGTGCTTTGGCATGCAGGCAAATTAATTGGGATATTTAAAAATTTGACGCGGAAAGAGATAAAGTGCTCGGATCATTTGCATGTGTTTTAACTTTTCACCTACGCCATTTTACTGATACTGGTGAGAAAAGGATATTCACTTATATTTTGATGAGTTAAAATCCGTAAATTTGTACGTCTTATATACTGCTTGATTAATGTGTCGCAAACCGCAGAACCAAAGTACGCGAAATGTGAACTTGTGTGGAGACAAATTTATCACTAGGACCTCGATGCTGACGTCTCATTCGTGGCGCGCTGCAAAAGACGTTTGCGACGGTTTTTATGTGTGTGAAACTTCTTCGAGTCTCTTGGCAAAAGACGGTCGAGCCTTAAAGAAGGCGCGTCAGGGGTTCACCTTCATTCACAAAGTCGATGCCGTACTCTAACTGAGCCTAATTTTAAAAAAATACGTGGGGCAAAAATCTTTTGATCTTTGACTCAAACCGCACATTTTTATCCTTCCATCCGCAGCCAAACCTGGTTGAATTGGGGATTTCTCATTAAGCTAAGAATCAAAGCCTTTGAGATCTTTCCCGATTAACCGGTTTCTCTTTCATCGATGGAGTCGTCTGTTTTATTGGTTAATGACTTCAGTTATGATACGATGGCAGCAAATTATCGTTTTTAAGAACACTTTGAATCTAACTTTTCTGCTTACAAAACAGCCTCACCGATTTGATTAATTTAACCCAACTATTGGACCATTCTGTCAGACCATGTTCATTGTCACTGCGAGTAGCCTCCTAACTTGTTTCCACTTTTCGTAACTCTGTTGGGATGTCTACACCCCCATGACAACTTAATTGGCGCTAATATTTAATGACTTCTACCTGCATCGTTACTCTGTGTTAATTACTCACCCCATCGATCCCAGATCGCCCAGGTACGCATGAGCATCCACTCGACTTCCGATTTGACAAAAATTTTCGTCTTTAACTTTGGCTGAGACAGTGGAACACTCTACACGAGCTCTTGTCATGCTCTGGGAAGCCTTTGACTTGCCAAGAAAAGGGTTTTTGGGACAGTAAAACGGTAGTTTTCTTAAATTGCTCCAACTTGGCTAAACAAATAGACAAATCTGTTCTCTCCCAACTGTGGTCACTTAATACGGGACAAACGGGTAGCAGTTTTCTAATAAGCCCGTGGCTTTGCCGAGAATAGTATGTAAACAAAAAACACCACCTACTCAGAAACATCCAAGCCAGCAAGCGTGTCCGGCTCTGTTGCACATTCGAGACAAGCCTTTAGTTAAACGCGGTCTCATTGGTTGTCAATGTCCCGGTAATTATGCAGATCAACCAGATGTTAGTAAGCCACCCAATTTCTACATCGCACATAATTACCACAAATCACAATAAAGATAGCCATTTCCGCTGTTATTATTATTAGCAAGCCTATAGCACGAAGTCTTGTGAATAGGAATCAAGAGTGGCCATTGGGCAGTTTAATTTCAGTTATCGATCGTTAACTTAGAACCGCGCATAGTTGCTTTTGATTGGTTTATTTCCAACAATGCGCTTCTGTAGACTGAAATTAAGCCAAATTCATATTAGTTTTCTGTGGGAATGGATTAACCACTCACACGGAAACCTTCTCACTCTTCATAGCCATGCAGAACAGCTGTGGGGAGTTTTCACGCCAGAAAACCAACAGAAATGTCGCAGATGAAGATTCCGGGCGATTGGCAGGCAGTCGCAGCCAAGGTATGCCGATAAAGGTGCCACACTTTGCGTGGTTTGTTTACCTGAAAAGCCCCGTGAATAGGCACCACGCCCTGGCACAAGAAACTCCAGGAATGGGTGCGGACCAGGAGGCGTGGCTAGAATAGGTTAGAAAGCCTTATGACAGAAATATGCAAATGCCAGTGGCTATGTCGAAGCAAAAAGTGTGTAGATTAGGCCACCTAGCCCCTGCAAAGTGCATTGTGCTCTATTTTTGGGTCAACTAAATTGCCACTAAGTGCTGCAGACCTCAATGAGATGTGGTTGTGAATGCCCAAATCTGACTAGGAGTTTCTCAGACGAAAATAGTCATCTGTACGAAATTCAGCATGCTGCCAAGTAACTTAGTGGACGGGTGGTGGGTGTTGCAACTAAGATGTATCATAAGCACTAGTAGTGTTATGGCATTTAACTGTCCTTTTAATAACATGAGATTAATTTAAGGTATGGAACATCGAAGCTGTTTGTTAGATGAATGCGTCGAAGTAGAAGGATCAGTTGCTTCAGGAATCCATTCGCCACCATTTGCATTTTCGACAGATGTTGGTAATTCATGTAAAACTAATTCAGTCATCCAATTGGTGCCTACAGACCAACTTTAATGCCATTTTTTATGGACTTTGTGCAAGACGTGAATTAGATTTGAAAACTAGTTGGGAGAAGTCCTTCCTAGATAACATGCCTAATGAAATTTTATAGGCACGTCAATGCACTAACCAAACCAAGCCCTAGAAAATGCAGGACATTCTAATCAGATAATGTCCTTTAAACGAAATAGCCTACCTTCCATAAAATAATCAGTTTGAAGGATCAGAAAGCGAGATTAGCGTCAAAGTCAACCTATACAGTGCTGGAAAGTATTACCCTGGATTAGCTTGCAAAGTGACATAAAGATTATGACATACACGAAGGACAATTGTCAGGAAAAAGATGTCGTAAGGATAGGAAGCTTCATGACTACCCTGGTCGTTCATCAGCAGTTAAACATCAAAGTCGTTGTCATCAGCTCTGTGCATAAAAAATTGTCCATTTTGCGCTTTAGCATTTAATAAAATTTTAACCTTAACTTATGCTAATCTCAACAGAAATTAAATAAACGAGTAAGGTTTCTGCTATTTGTGAATTTTTCTTGCTTTCAAATGGAAGTCTTGTGGTCCGAAAACCTGTTATTTCTTGTCTGCAATGAAACCGGATTTGAGCAAATGACCTCTCTTATTTTGTCTAGCAACCCAAGAGTGTGTGGTGTTTACAACCCACCTCCTGGGAGAGCCCTTTAAATTCCTCAGCCAACCAGAATGTGAAGGAGTCGCCCTCTCACTCTCTCTCCTTCCGGCTGTAAAACCTCAAGTAGTTGGTCTACTTCTGGCTCTCCCATGGCAAAACAACAGATTCTGTTGACTCCACTTTGATGTTTCCAGGTTTTCGAGTTCACAGTTGCGAGATCCCACGCTAAATGTCGGCCTTTTTACCTGGAATTGTAATCAACTCCTGGTCGTTAGTACTTTGGAATAGAAGCAAAGAAAAACAATTTACAGTTTTCTGATTTAAATTTCTTTTTTATTCAGCATTCTTCTCCATGATCATGTCCACGATCCGTCACGACAACCCAACGGTAATTCATTTTGCAAAAGTACAGCAGAAACAGGTTGAATGCAGCGGCTAAATCACCTGCTATTAATGCTGATTTCAATTCACATTTTATGGTGCAGCTCATTGGTTAATGCATTTTCCTTGATTCACCAAGTGTCAATTAAATATTGCCCAAAATCTTGTTATTACACAGGTAACTTGACTGGTTTCTTACAGATGTGCCTACAACACCGCTATCGCGTTTAGACACGACTCAGATGCTTAGAATTACATTCGCTCTAAAAAAATGCCAAAGGCAGGGATTCAGACAATGGAAAGAATATCTTTCCTAAATTAGAACATCTGACATTTGGCCAAATTCAGAGCGACTGGGCAGCAAAAGTACTTTTTAATACAAAAGTGGGAAAATGTGTTTTTGAAAGCCAAGTCTGCAGTTTTGTCAATTAGTTTTTCTTTTAAAGGCCACGACAAAGTCCACGGAAGGGAGTCCAAGATCTACTCGCTAGAGATGCACCCTCGGTTTTGTAACGATTTATTTTTTTTTAATTCACTCGTTCGGTTTAAAATTTTATGGACGTCAGCAGAGGCAAACGTAACTTGCTCGCGCTGACACCTGACAATGTAATTTTGACATGTAGAGGCCGGTGTTAATCATTTCTTTATCTCGGGCTAAATTGATCGATCAGTCCTTAGCCAATGAAAGTTAAGTTTTTCGGCAGTAAAAGCATTATTTTCTCAACACGAGTTGATGATGTTGTCGACCACGTAGCAGAAGTACACAGAAGGGTGTCGTGTCGAGTGCGTTCGTGTACTCCAATGAAGTAGATCGTTATAAAATTACGTTTGTTTACGCCTAACTCCCGACTGCTTCCGTTGCAGCAAAATGTTAGAGCCCTCGATTTCGCTGTTTAACTCATCTCCTCGTGGACTCAAGGTCAAGTGGACTCATAGAAACGCGGATTTTTGCCAAAAGCCGTGGTTTTAAAAAATCTGCCGCGGACAATAACGTTTTGTCCCTGGTTTCCGGCTTAAAGGGTTAAAGCTAGTTAGTGATCACCTCCAAATCTTCACGCTTGTAGAAATAATACAAGACATTACTATAGACATTATTATAGTTTATTATAGAGAAGTAAAAACCTGTCAGAAGAGAGTCTGAAATGTGAAAAATTCTATGCTTTTAATGAGCTGTTGAACAAGGTCATTATCGAATTAAGACCAACTCGAATGCATAACAATTATGCACAAATAGTATTCATTAGCTATTTTACATTTGACTGGTTAGTTATTCTCCTGATCGATAATCACACATTTTCACACAAGGGAGGAAGCCAGCCTGTTGCCGCAATTTTCCAAGTTCTACCCTATCCAATTGTTTGTGAGTGTGACTATATCAGCAAAAGAGTCATGCTACTCACGATTTGCCCTCTACTACCAATAGGAAATTTTTAAGCAGTTGCATAAGTAAGAGGCAGAATTAAAATCAAATTTTAAATCACCTTTCTGAACAAAGCAGCATTAATCGATAATCAATAGCGCACGCTTCGATAACTCCTTTAACTGTTTTGCAGAACCTTACGGGTTCCTCAATTTCTTCTTTGCAGAAACAGATTGGTTTTGGTTCAACATGCGCTGGTGCGTAGTTTCACGCCCCAAAAATCTATTCAACAACTTTCAACAAATGACCGTTCAGGGTTACAGAAATATGCCAGGTAGCTGCAGACTTCCAACGCGAAATCATATTTTGGCAATTCAATTAATTTTATGTAAAGCAACAGATACAAATGAGATAAGACAAGGTCGGGGACAGGATGACTGCGCAGTCTGCAGTATCTGCTTAGCGACGCGTAGTCTGGCGTTGTCATGGTGAAACGTGATGCCTTTCCACTTTGCCCAGTTTGCGCATTTCGCTTCGATTGTAGCTGGCATTCGAGTGAGTTCACTCAAATCGCGTCACCGTAGGTAATGGTTGGACACGCGAAGGAAACTCGTAGAAGTTGCCTTCTCTGCGACTACCCCACACGACACACTGCGCAGGAGGAGAGGTGTCTGTGGAAGCAATGCATGCTTTGCTCCGTGATGTTGACACGCACAGAGGACCATCCAGGATGACTTTGAAGTCGCAATTGAACTCGCCAATTTCAATTCCACTAAAGCTCATTTTCACGGCCGTACGAGCTAGCGTACGATCCAAATTCACATCTTGCATA